GAAACCCCATCTCTACTAAAAAATACAAAAATAAGCCAGGCATGGTGGCACACGCCTGTAGTCTCAGCTACTCAGGAGGCTGAGACAGGAGCATTGCTTGAACCCGGGAGGCAGAGGTTGCAGTGAGTCAAGCTCATGCCACTGCACTCCAGCCTGCGCAACAGAGGGAGACTCTGCCTCAAAAAAAAAAAAGGAGAATCCATTTTATTTTGACAGTCCTAATAAAAATCCTTCTTCTTTTTTTTTGAGACAGTCTTGCTCTGTCGCCCAGACTAGAGTGCAGTGGCGTGATCTTGGCTCACTGCAACCTCCGCCTCCCAGGTTCAAGCGATGCTTGTGCCTCAGTCACCCAAGCAGCTGGGATTACAGGCATGTGCCACCACACACAGATAATTTTTGTGTTTTTAGTAGAGATAGGGTGTCACCATGTTGGCCAGGGTGGTCTCGAATACCTGACCTCAAGTGATCCACCCGCCTCACCTTCCCAAAGTGCTGGGATTACCATGCCTGCCCAATTATTCTTTTATATTGTGATCATTTTAGTTGATTATTTCTTTTTCTTTTTTTTTTTAGGTGGAGTTTTGCTCTTGTCGCCCAGACCAGAGTACAATGGCACGATCTCAGCTTACTGCAACCTCTGCCTCCCGGGTTCAAGCGATTCTCCTGCCTCATCCTCCTGAGTAGCTGGGATTACAGGCGTGTGCCACCACACCTGGCTGATTATTTCATGTTTCATATAAATCAGCTTTAGGCTGGTATAGTGAAGAAAACACAGGAGTTAGAGTTGGAAGACTTGCTTGCTAGCCCTGTGGCCTAACTTAGGTCACTTGGCCTTGTTGGGACTTGGTTTCCTCAAGTGTGGGATGGGAGATACACCTCCTACCACCACTAAACTGTTGTGTGCATGAGGCAGAGTGCATGTGGTTGCCACACAAGCTGTGGCAGCAATGACGCAATACTTTTGATGATCTCCTAAAGAACATGTCAGACTCATTTTTGTATCATCATATGGCACACAGTAGATGCTCAATTTGTAATAAATGAAAACCATTATTTTAAATCCATTATTTCCCTGAGTGAACTTTTATTCTGATATCTGACTGCCCTTTGATCGTTATTGTTAGCAACTATAACACAATCACCTTTTCTAAATGCCAAGTCAGTTTCTAATAATGTAGTTGCTTTCAACAGCTCCTAATTTTTCTAGTAGATTTGCTATCCATGTACTACTGAACTAAGAAAATACATCCTCTCAGGGCCGGGCATGGTGGCTCATGCCTGTAATCCCAGCACTTTGAGAGGCCGAGGTGCGCGGACCACAAGGTCAGGAGTTCAAAGTCAGCCTGGCCAACATAGTAAAACCCCGTCTCTACTAAAAATACAAAAATTAGCTGGGCATGGTGACACATGCCTGTAGTCCCAGCTACTCGGGAGGCTGAGGCAG